ACAACCACAGTTCACAAATGTGGGCCCCGTTATATCCGTGGACAGTGCCGGACCACCCCTCATATCTTAGCCATTGCAACTATAGTCTTCATTTCCATACTACTACACACAATGTAACATCTCATCTACGCACATATTTAAAGACTAGCAAAGTAGCTACTCGTCATCAGATATGGATGACCTCCTTGCTGGAGTCGCCCGCCTCACGGTCATTGGCGACCAGGCGAAATTCTGGTGCCTCCTCCTTGTTCTCATCCGTAAAGAGCTACTCGCTTCATATCCACCTCATGGATTAAGCGGCGATTCGCCGCCACCTCCAGCTTGTCCTGGATGGACTCAAGGATGACATGTTGCTCCGCCGCCTTCTTGGCTTGGGCGAGCTCGAACTCCGCCAGCGCGTCCTCCATGGTGAATCCATCATATTCCGGCTCCGGATCCGCCTCGTCGTCCTCCTTCTCTTCCTTCGGCACCTCCACCTATTCCATCTCCTCATCTGACGCCTCCACCTCCTCCTGCTCCAGCACTGCCTCCTCATTTGGAGAGTTCGGAGGCAGGTCATCCGTAATATGAGCGGCGCATCGTGCCTGCATCTTCGCCCAGTGCTCTAGGGTTAGCATTTCGTAGTAGGTTATTTTGGTGCGGACCATGGCTACCGGCGGACGGCGAGGTCGGGGAGGAATGAGGAGCGGACGGGAGGAAGGGAGATGAGATGGGAGTGGCTATGGCTGAGGCTCGCCGTCCGGCTTAAATTGTCGGGCTTGGCTCCTCAGGCAGCGCGCCGGAGCGGCGGCGTGAATGCTGACTTGTGACCTTCCAACGGACATGTGGGGCCCACCTGTCAGTTAGATGTGGCAGACGCATCCGGGCACCCTCGTATCTGCCTCACGTATGGGCTGGACGTGGGGGTGCCGGGTAACTCAGACGTATATGATCGATTTGAGGTGTCCGGTTGGGTGGCATTTTTGTGGTCGAACTGTCCGTCCGGATATATAGAAGGTTTGATGGTCCCTATTTTACCTAGCCATCCCTTGGCCCGGGCCTAGCCAAGCTCGACGTAGAAAACCCAGACCCGGCCTGGCCCGGGCGTTGGGCCTAGAAAACCAGGCCCAAGCCCCGCCTGCACGTGTAAAAGCCCGCCGAGACTCGGGCCTTGGGCCCGGCCCCTTTAGTAAATCGCAAAAACGGCGGGCCTGGGCCCGGCCCGGCCTTTGGGCTCAAAATCTAGGTCCGGGTGCAGCGTCGGGCCGGGCTGCCCATGGCGAGGTATAGTCCCTGTTGTAGATGCTCTTATTCGCCATACTGACACGAGAAAACTAATACTCCCTCCATTCCAAAATATAGTGTGCCCGCGCTTCCCGAGGTCCAACTTTGACCATAAATTTAACTAACGAGACCAATTGCGGCGGAAGAAAAAATTATATAATTGAAAACTTCTTTCGAATACGAATTCGCGGATATAATTTTTGCTCCCGTCGCAATCGGTCTTGGTAGTTAAATTTACGGTCAAAGTTGAAGCACGTGGATAGAGGAAGCACTACATTGTGGAATGGAGGGAGTATTGAAGAACTACGTGAACCAAGTTTATACTCTATCTGCATAGCCAGAACCCAGACCGTAGCACAAGGATAAATTGAAACCCAAGTCTCCAGCGGATAGATTAACAACTTCATAAACTACGGAGTAAAAGCGCATTTGCAGTTGTGGTTAGAAGACATTGAGCATGCCTTAACCAGCCCTTATACCACAATTAAAATAAGGTCCATGCGCAGCGGCGCCTGTCATTTTTCTCCAACCCCCGAAACCGTTCCGCCAAAAAGGAAATCGGGCACATGCGGCATGGAGGGCCAATAAGAAATTATTTATCAGACACGATCAATCATCAAGTGGCGCTGTCAGAGATGATTGCACGCCCAGCTACTGTACTTATCTGGACAGTTTTCTCCAGTCGGTTGGGGCTTTTGGGGGGTGGATCGGGGTTGTTGTTTTTGCGCAATTTTGTTGTTCCCACCTGCCATTCCTAACTCACCAAAAGCAGATGCTATTCTAGTAAAAGTTGGAACCTGATGCTATTCTAGTGTCATTATTCAGAGATCGGTATTCAGGTGAACTGGCCAAACACTGCACCTCGTCGTCTCTTTCTGAACGAATTCAAAAGGGACACCCGGTTTTAAAAGCTCAATCGAGAAATTTTCTACTATTTCAGGGTTACGCGGTGGTAGACTTTAAAGTCTTCAAACTGATCGATGCCAAACTCTTTGGGGGAGTCGTATATGGATGGATGGATGGAGGAGTTGGGAACTCGTTTCATGGCGGCTGAGGTGTTGTATAGTCTTAGCTTCCAAGCAGGCACGAGGCATGCTTGGCATGTGGGACTGAGCAATCAGGTGTGGTTGCCATTGTTGCCATCGTCACAAGATTGATTTGTTGTTGGAACAAATATTTGACACCTGCAGCAAATGTAGCTTACCAAATCCACCTCTTTGGTACGTACTAGGTCAACACAAAAAGACTCCAGCCCGAATCCATCATGGGCACATACACATACACATTTCGACCAAATTCAGTCTCTTGGCATCTTTATGGTGGCCATTTGGCCAACCATTCGTAGGACAGATTGAATAGTATAAAATGTCAAGGTTGACTCCTAATCATTGAATTTCAACACCATGTTGCTTTGTCCGTAAGTTTTAGCAAGCTATGGTATGAAGCGTAGCCCGTATGCTCTCTGCCTTTGCTAGCTTCTGACAGCGGCAGATTAACCGATCAGGAAAAAGATGGTGAGCAAACTCCGCTGACCATTTGTAACATTTGAAATTAGAGATGCCTGTGAAGGACGCGTTCTTTTCTCCACATGAAAAGACCCCATGTTTTTCTCCTCTTTCCGTCGGCGTCGCCGCCGGTCCGCGTCATCTGCGATGGCCTTTGGGCTGTGGAAGTGTGGAGGACCTCGGCCCCTCGCCGGCGAGAGGGACCCCGCTCTTATTTTTGTTAGGTTCAACACGTTGGTTGAGGTTGTATGGCAGGCGTCTAGGTATCGTTGGAGGACTTGTGGAGGTGTGTTTCTGTCAGATCTTGCGGGATTCGGTCGGTGCTGGTTTTCAGTGGATCTGTTTGCATCCGGTCTTTATCCATTTTTGTTTGAGTGTTTACAGGTTTGATCCTTGCGATCTACAATTCTCTTCATCGGCGATGATTGTTGCTCAGGTGTGTTGATTCTGTGGGGTGTTTAGCACAGTGACTTACCGACTGTCTACTACAACAAGATTTGCCCGACTCTAGCGATGGAGGGAAACTTTTACGGCGGCGCATCTTGAGCTCACTCCAGTGTTTTATGGTTGTCGCTAAGTGGTTCACGGAACTAGTTGTAATTTTTGTTTTCTCAGAGTGTTCTTTGTATTACCATAATTGATTATGAATAGATCAAAAGTTGAAAAAAGATGCCTATGAAGGATGAAAAATCCCTCGAACATAAAAATAAAACAATGTGGTAGATATCATTTTGCATGCATTCAATGGCCAAAGCACCCCCCACTTTATTATTTAACCACTTTGTACACTATTTAGAAGTGTCTATCCATTTGTCAATTTGTGTCTAATTTGATTGTTGTGCCGCATGGGACATTGCTCACTTGCCGCATATGCTCGAACGGCATCGGTTTCGGCTGTACAGTGGGTATGCTTAAACATAAATGGGTCGCCACCGCGGGTTGGGTTGCTGCCTTGGATAGGGGAAGTGAGGCGTTTGTCAACTAACCCGTCAAGCTCCATACCACAATATTTCGTCCAAAAAAAAATCTCTATAACATGTTGGAAACAGCTCCCAGAAAAGACATGTCTCAAGTGGCAGTTCGTCTATAGACACATTGCCCTGATAAGCGAGACCCACCAGCTGAAATTGACAAAAATGTCAAATGAGGTTTTGAGAGGGAAGAAACACCATAGTTTCGGTGGCTCTAGATCTGAATTAAAGCTCCCTAAACTAGCCTATTGAGACAGTTGCCCCTAACATGTGACCATTAGCTTGTTTCATAATCTACCATTTTACCCATACATCAACGACATTGTCTGCTCTGACACAATTAAAACTTGCCTCGTCGCTACCCAGTGTTTTCGTGTTCACCACGCCATCGTTGGCTCGGTATCAGAGCTCGCCTCGCTTCTATCCGATGATGTCAATCATATGAAGACTGTAGGGATGAAGGAAAAGGGGATAAAAAATTGATCGATTGCTGTGAAACGAAAAACAGCTAACCATAACCACCACAATCACAAATCACAATGGTACATTATAACGCAAACAGAGGCCGAGAAGATTTGCATAGCACAGATTGAAGATCACAGTGTCGACTTTGCGAAAAAGCTGTGAAAACGGCGCAAGGTGGACACGCACAAGTCGAGAGAAAAGTAATCCCTATTTACCGACGGTTAATGTCATTTTTTGCGATGACTACCGACCGTTAAATGAGCAATAATGTTTCCAGACTCGACGCAGATCAAGTGAGTCGTATAACCGAACTGGATGTGACACACATCAAAAAGCACGGTGGAAAGTAAAACGCACCTTTCGTGTCATTCTCAAGTAAGTCGCTTGCTCCGTGAAACCACTGCGCATGCGCCAACCGGGGGCAGTCCAGTGGGTGCACCAAACCATCTGCAGGGTTGACATGACACGCGAGGCCTCCATCGAAGCAGGTCACTTCGATCGATGCAGCTAGCATGGCCGCCCGCGAAAAGCTTCCCCACGCAGAAAAATCACAACCTAATCCACCAACCCGCAGCTGCAGGCCAGACGACGGCAGGAACACGACGACGATCGCATTTGAACCCTGCTCTTCTGAAGTGCGAATGCTATATATACCGCCCCCTCGACGCTGCAAGTCTCATCGCCAACTCAACTCGAGCCTTCAGCCACAACAAGGCCTTCTCTAGCCAGCCACCACCCCATCGCAGAGAGCGCCGACGTAGACGACGATCTCCGGTCAGCGATCGGTGGGCCGGCAATGGCGTCCTCCGGGCTCCTCCTTCTCCTCGGCTGCCTCGCGTCCGCCCTGCTCGCCGGCGCCACCAAAGTGCACCACCACGAGTTCATCGTACGTGATCCTATTCCTACCTCCCTGTCTCTCCTCCTACCAGCAATGCGGTAATGGCGTTGCTGTTTTTGGGTACGGCTTTGCTGATTGTTTGTTTTGTGACGATGAAGGTCCAGGAGACGCCGGTGAAGAGGCTGTGCGAGGAGCACAACATCATCACGGTGAACGGGCAGTTCCCGGGGCCGACGCTGGAGGTCCGGGAGGGGGACACGCTGGTGGTCAACGTCGTGAACCAGGCGCAGTACAACGTCACCATCCACTGGCACGGCATCCGGCAGTTCAGGACGGGGTGGGCGGACGGGCCCGAGTTCGTGACGCAGTGCCCCATCAAGCCCGGCGGCAGCTACAAGTACCGCTTCACCATCGAGGGCCAGGAGGGCACCCTGTGGTGGCACGCCCACAGCTCCTGGCTCCGGGCCACCGTCTACGGCGCGCTCATCATCCGGCCCCGGGAGGACAAGCCCTACCCCTTCGACAAGCCATCGCGGGAGGTGCCCATCCTCCTCGGCGAGTGGTGGAACGCCAACCCCGTCGAGGTCATCCGGGAGGCGCAGCGGACCGGCGGCGCGCCCAACGTCTCCGACGCCTTCACCGTCAACGGCCAGCCCGGCGACCTCTACAACTGCTCCCGCCAAGGTACTGCTGAGTGCTGATGATCTCGCCGGCGATGCAGCTAGCCACCGTGCGTGACACGAACATGTACACTGACGACGATGTGTGTGTCGTTCGCTTTGGCTCTTGGCAGACACCACCGCGATCTCGGTGAAGCCCGGCGAGACGGCGCTGCTGCGGTTCATCAACTCTGCGCTCAACCACGAGCTCTTCGTCTCCATCGCCAGCCACAAGATGACGGTCGTCGGCGTCGACGCCTCCTACACCAAGCCGTTCGTCACCTCCGTGCTCATGATCGCGCCGGGCCAGACCACCGACGTGCTCGTCACCATGGACCAGGCGCCCACGCGCTACTACATCGCCGCGCGCGGCTACGTCACCACGCAGGGCGTGGCGTTCGACAACACTACCACCACCGCCGTACTCGAGTACGACTGCGGCTGCACCACCGACTTCGGCCCATCGATCCCGCCGGCGTTCCCGACCCTCCCGGCCTTCAACGACACCGGCGCCGCCACGGCCTTCGCCGCGGGCATCAAGAGCCCGCGGAAGGTCGAGATCCCAAGCCCCGTCGACGAGAACCTCTTCTTCACCGTCGGCCTCGGGCTGTTCAACTGCGCGCCGGGGCAGCTGTGCGCCGGGCCGAACAACAACACCCGCTTCACGGCCAGCATGAACAACGTCTCCTTCGTCTTCCCCAAGGCCACCTCCCTCCTCCACGCGCACTACTACGACATGCCGGGCGTGTACACCACCGACTTCCCGGCCAACCCGCCGGTGCAGTTCGACTACACGGCGCAGAACGTCAGCCAGAGCCTGTGGCAGCCGATCCCGGCGACCAAGCTGTACAAGCTCAGGTTCGGCTCCGTGGTGCAGGTCGTCCTGCAGGACACCAGCATCGTCACGCCGGAGAACCACCCCATCCACCTCCACGGCTACGACTTCTACATCCTCGCCGAGGGCTTCGGCAACTACGACGCCGAGAAGGACGCCGCGAAGTTCAACCTCGAGAACCCACCGCAGCGGAACACCGTGGCGGTGCCCGTGAACGGCTGGGCGGTCATCCGGTTCCGCGCCGACAACCCGGGGGTGTGGCTCATGCATTGCCATCTCGACGTGCACATCACCTGGGGCCTGGCAATGGCGTTTCTGGTCGAGGACGGGTATGGCGAGTTACAGTCACTGGAGGCGCCTCCAGTTGATCTTCCAATGTGCTAATGACCGGCAAAGATACAACACCAGCAATATTGAAGGCTGCCCACGTTCTACTCTCAGTTCGCCATTTGGGGGTATTTGTGATCTTTATTTTGTATTTCTACTAGGGGTTTTGATTTTCCATCATGGTTTGTAACTTCCCCTGTAAATTTGCGTATTTTCAGTGATTCATCAGCTTATTATTTGAAATGAACTCTTATGTGATAGCAGTAACTACATCAAAGATCGAAATGTGCTGATTTGAAAGAGAAAAAACATCATTGATTAGCCAGAACTCATATGTGGAGGATCTTTTTGTATGAAGGACAATTTCATTTGATTGATATATCGATGTGATACAATTGAACTGAGCAATGCCCGGCCAGCTTCTGCATATCACACTGACAACTTGTTCAACACAATAACAAAAAAAAAAGATTATTTTACAACAACAAAAAAAGCCAACCAAAGATGAGGTAGATTATATCCGAAGAGTATTACCGTCATCCATGATGGGAGAAAAACTTTCTGACCCTATGCTCCAGCCAGGTTGACGTTATCATAAAAACGTCGATATCCTCTGGCCTCCATAGGATAGACCCAAATGTTTTCAGTTTTCTTGTCAGTAATGACAGGACATGACGAGACGTGGGCTGACGACGCCTCGATAACTAGAGAGCAAAGCTCGAGATGACGTACCCCGAAACTATAAAGTCACGTTATCCTAGGCATGTGGATCTCAAGGTGTAGCACTCCGAAACAATGAAGAACATGCAGATGGGCATACAACCTCATGCCACAAAGGCCTCGGGATAAATGGAGCACATTGGGAGAAGCTCGAGCCCTAGGAGCTCCCTGCTGGTCATTCCGAACTCATAAAGGTGTTGTCCCACAAGCCGTGCACTTGGTAGGCCCGAAAACCCCTTGACGTTGGGCTCATGAAGACACGCCACGGTCGTTGAGGAGCCCGCCTGCGTTTTCATTCCTGAAGATGACAAGATTCCGAATCCGGACACGCTCAGTGCTTACTGATGGTGTAATACACCCAGGATGGCCTCTCCATGGGAAGCCTAACAGCAGGTGTGTCCCAAGGTCCAAGGGGCTCGATGAAGATTCAACATCCGGGGGAGCCCAAAGGCTCGGGTTGAGATCAAGAGATCATTTTGGCGTGCAAGCCAAGATGGCGACAGGGTAAGGTCGGTTAGACCCCAAATGTAAACCCTAGCCCCCATCGTCTATATAAGGCGGGGCTAGGGGTAGCCATTCTAATCTACAACAATGATTGTAGTCTCGGTAGCCATATTCTTTTCCCCACTCTAACTCCCTCGCACGAGGGGCACCACCATGAATACAAATTAGAAGCATGATGTAGGGTATTACCTCAATACGAGGGCTGAACTCTGGGTAATCCCCTTGTGCGACCTCCGCTCTAGCACTTCTGGCCGTGTTCGCCACCCTAGCAAGGGTATTGACAGTTTTCTCTACCGTCACCATTCTCCCCAACAACTTCTTCATCTTCATCATCCAATCCAATGAATTGATTGGAGTTTGAACCATCATTTTTCTTCAACCTCTTGTTACCAACTTTGTTACTTTGAGGTCTTCCGCAAGTTAATTCCACTTTGGTTGGCCATTCAATTTCATCCAACAATGGCTAAAACTGAATGGTTTCATCTCGGTTTGTTGGTACAAAGTGGCTGCCAACACCATCCATCAAACAATAAAGTAATCCGACATAAAAACTAGCAATGCAAATTATGACAAAACAGAGCAATTAAACTTATGTGACTTTGGACTCTAATCCCACTTTGATTCTGGCCAAGCACGGAAGCATAGTGGCCGACAAACTTGTTCGCGTTGTCTTGGATGGTGGGCCATCTATGTTGGAGAGAGGCCACATTGCAAGTGGTATTGATAGGATGCATCTCCACATATTCCTTGTTTTCATGATAATGTTTGTGGATCTTCTCTTAATAATATTTGTTGCCCTCTTGATCCATGTCACATATAGGGTCCATGCTTGTGGCCCACCAAGATTTAACCAACAAAACATCCTCAAATGTTGTGAATGTCGGACCTCTTGCCTTAGGTATCTTTGTCGTCCTTTTCTTGTTAGTGCGCGATGTTCTCCCAACATCAAATGTAAGACAATTTGGATCCCGCAAGGCATTCCATAGGGTTTGTAGATTCTCGACCCTCAATGATCATGCCCAACATGAAATTCTCTTATAATGATTATGATTCCAAATAAACTAACAAAATATGCCACTGATTGATTCAAGGGCATATGCAATTATTTGATCCAATGGCATAGCAAATATATAACGGACGAAACGATACAAATGGAGCAAAATTTGAATTGTCTCCTACTGGGACATTCCGTCGAACAGGATCTAGGCAAACCGGGCGCCGACAACATCCATACTTGTCCGCATCCATCGGAGTTGCAGTGAGTCATACACCTCGTCGTCCCGCGCCTCCGTTTGTGTAAATGAGTCTAGAATCGTCCAGGCGGCCGTTGGATCATTGCCGGTCACAAGCGGACGGTGGCTTCCTTGTCAGCTGCAGGATGGACGGGCACGGGGCGACCGGGCGCAGTGAAGGGGACACATCCTCGTTGGTGTCCTCAACATCCTTGGCTACCACTTCCCTCTCGCGCTGCTTCCTTTGCCGCACCCTCCGGGTGATGTTCTTTGCCTTGCAGCTCGTCGCCACGGACGGGAGCCCCACAAACAACGCCGAGGCAACATCCATGTCAGCGGTTTGGGGCTGGGTGACGACAACATCTAGGGCGACGCATATGATGGAGCAAGGATCGAGGACGGTGAGGGCTCGGACGCAGAAAAAAGAAGGATGAACGCTAGAGGAGGGCGTTGGATTTTGACGAACTTGGTCAATTATATGGAATTTATGGTGGGTCCAGTCTGTCTGGTCCGACATGACGAACATGCCTGGATGGGTCAGGCATCCTCATATTCATCCTAGACATGGGCCGTGTTTGGATTCATGGGTTAGAGTTAGTTTGGGTTAGTCTGGACTCAACTAACCCAAAAATATCCAAACATGAGGGTTTGGTTGGGTTAGATGCATCTAACCCAACCAAAAACTAACCCACCCAAAAGGTGCTTATTTGGATTAATTCTTCTCGGCACCACTAAAAAAACACATTTTTCTCTCGCTCTTCCGCAGCAGATCCCTTCCCACTTCCCCGAAGTTTCTCATCCTCTCCCTCACTCCCTCTCACACCGCCCATGAAGATGCCTCGCCGTATTCGCGCTCCATCTAACCCTGCCATCCAAACACCTTTTTGATTAGAGTTAGTTCAGGATTAGAATGTAAGAGTTAGAGTATCCCAACAAGGCCATGGACCAAGCTTTCTGGCCTGGCACGTATAGAAGGCGTTTGAGGGCGCAGGGTGTACGATGCTCTGACATAAGTGAAGCTGTTTCTCAAGGACCGACGAAATATCTCACCACAACCCCAAATTCAGGCACCAGAATGAGTTTGAACAAGTAGATAAAAAACCACAGGTAAAGGCAGGCTCAGTGGAAACCACAAAACCTGTATATGAACAATCTGGTTAAATACGAGAGAATACGGCTAGTAATGCGGATCAATTTGCTAACGCTCAATCGATTCGTAGTGCACAGTGATCAATTTGCTAAATGCTAATGCTTAACATCTGCTCAAATACGAGAGGATACAGCTTCACGCGGATCTTTGCATAACTGGAGATACATATTTAAACCAAAATCAGATCTCGCGAAATTAGACTCAGACTTGAAATGAACTCGTTGGTCCAAGAAGGCTACCAGATCTCGCGCGGGCTCAAACACCAGATCCGGGCGACGCGAGGAAGGAGAGCAGCCTGTGCGAAGTGTTGCCGCTTGACACGGAGCTCGAGTCGTCGAGGAAGAGGTCCTCGGGCATGCGGAACGCGCCGTGCACCGCCACCAGCGCGCCGCCGACGAGCAGGCCGGAGATGATGAGCGAGGCGACGGACGTGAGGAAGAAGGCGAGCAGCGACGAGACGAGGAGGCCGAGCAGCGTCTCCCGGTCGGTGAAGGTGCGGCCGAAGAGCACGACGGGCTGGTCGGGCGCGCGGAAGACGTAGAGGAAGCACCAGGCGCCGAGGATGCTGAGGAGGACGAGGAGCGAGATGGGGTGCGCCAGGAGGGAGGCCGCGAGGGAGAAGGCCACCACGGCGGCGTAGTTGACGCGGAAGTAGCCGAGGTTGCGGCGCAGCCGCGAGGTGGCCTCGGAGAGGGAGTCTGGCCGCGAGATGGCGGAGCGGTCGATGAGCTCCGTCCAGGGGCGGCGGTCGGCGAGCGAGCGCCGCGCCGTGTCGGAGACCCTGCTGAGGAAGAGCCGGAAGGCCGGCGTGGCGAGCGCGGAGTCGGAGAGGCCGCCGCCGGAGGATGGGGCAGAGCCGCCGCCGCCGGAGGAGGGGTTGGTCACCGGGAGCAAGGGCTGCGGCGTCGGTGCGGCGGCCATGGCGTCTGCTGCGGGGGGGATAGATTCCGCGGATTGATTGATGGGCACGCTGGGCTGGGCCAGCACTTTTATGATTCCGAGGATTGGTGGCTCTACGCCCGTCCCACCTCACACAGTGGGTGCTGGACTAAGCTCCAGTTCTTTTGCCGGCTTAAAAAATAAGCCACCTCCTTCCCAATTTATTCTATAAGCCGTCACTCTTATACAATGTGGCTTCTAAACTAATTATGAAATAACTAATTCAAAAACCTCAACAAATTTTGGGTGCAGCTTATTTTTTAAGCTAGGGAGGGGCGGCTTATTTTTAAGCCGCTCAAAAGAATTGACCCTAACTCGCGACCCACAAGTCATTTGCGTTCTACGTGTCGTGATTATGACCTGATTAATGAGTGACTCGATCCGCAAAGCTGGAAGAAAGGGATGTTAACGGGCGGCAAGCCCGCTTAGCTATCTCTACCTTGAAATTGAGAGGGTGTTTGTTTCTAGGGACTTATTGGTTTAGGGACTTAAAAAAGTATTTATAAGTCTCATCTAAACCAAACAGGAAGGACTTATAGGGACTTAAAGTGGGTCCTTCACTAACAGGTTTCTTCGGAAAACTCTATCTATTCTCGTGTGGATGGCAAGCAGGCCTATATTTCTTGGTTTCGATAGGACTCCTTACAAGCGCGGGTGAATTAGAGAATAGACAGAGGTCCGTTGGCATGAGACTTATGAAATAGGACTTTCAAGGAGGGACTTATAGGGACTTATAGTTGTAATGTGGTCTTTTAGTCCATGTTAAGTCTCAGGAACCAAACATGTAGGGACTTTTTAGGAACTTGAGAAAAAAGAATCACAAGTCGCGATCAAAATTCGGCGAGCACCACTACGCCCCATGTCTTGTTCGACGGAATGACACAGCAGGGCACAATTTTTTTGCTCATTTCCGATCAATACCTTGCATTCTCATGTGGGGCATTATCAATTAATTGCATACACCGCTAGTCTCAAATGGGAGATCGAGAAGGTCCGGGCTTTTGGATTAACCTGGTTGCAACTTGCCCGAGACACGGAGGATTCGAGGATAATGTTGGCGGAGACAAACCTCTTGGATGAGCAAGGAAAGATATGGCTCATCGGGAGGAAGAAGGAGATAAACAAGCGGAGTACGAGGCGGCAAGAGCGAAGATGGCAGCTGCAAAGCAGGTGACACGGATGGAGGTAGAGCAGGCAACATGGATGGCCACGACAGAGGCGGCAACACACATGGCTTCCAGGGAGTGATCCATCCAGCGATTGATCCATCATTCTCGGACTTCAATTTCACTTTTCCATGTTCAGGTTGTTGAACTAAGATTTATTTTGCTTTGTTGCTTTGTTGAACTGTTAAATTGTGATGAATTACACGTGCATGGATTTGAGGGTTTGCATTTGCCGAGTATGGCTGTCCTGTAGAAAATATGAGGGGTCATCCGGGTCACACTTCAAACTTCCTCTTTCACAACCAGATACATGAATTGCAAAACCTCAAATCTGTACAATTACATGCAATGATAAACTAGTCTAAATTTTTTGCCGATGACGGCCCTTGTTTTCCATCGTATCCATGTCCGGCGGCAGGCTAAGCCCCTCGAAGTGGAGGTGCGGTCGCCGACGAGGAAGAGTAGGACATGGGACACACACCGGCTCATGGGACCGAGGCGCGGACATCGCCCATGTCCTACTCTTCATCGTTGAAGCTCGTGGCCTGCACATCGTCGGCCAGTGTGAGGTCGACTATGGATCTGTCATGGTCGGAGCCCGACACATCCACCATGACGTCGTTGCGGCGTCAGAGAGTGTGACTTCGCCTCACCGGTGTCTACCGCGGCCTCTCGCGCCTGATGCTTCGCATGCCGGGCCATATTTTCATTGGAGAAAAGTGGGTGTGCACCTCCGAATCGACGCGCCAATGAGGGGGTTGCACCTTCGCCACAATTTTTGGACTTCAGACGGACCGCATTGCCTCCGGCGAGGCAACGGCGACGCGCCTGACGCTAGATCCTAGCGCCATTTCGGCGTACGCTATGGATTCCCATCGAATCAAGTCCGAACATTAACGGGCATTCTCCTCGTGGGTGCGACTGAGTGCAATGTGGATGACCATATCCTCCTCAGACCCGCGGGGGATGAGGTCCCAACCCATAGATCGGATGACAGAGGACTCGGATTCGCTGCCCGCTATGTCGAAGTGTTGGGGAACGCAGTATTTTAAAAAATTCCTACGACCATGCAAGATCTATCTAGGAGATGCATAGCAACGAGAGGGGAAGAGTATGTCTACGTACCCTCGTAGACCGAAAGCGGGAGCGTTATGAAACGCGGTTGATGTAGTCGAATGTCTTCAGGATCCAACCAATCAAGTACCGAACGCACGACACCTCCGCGATCTGCACACATTCAGCTCGGTGACGTCCCTCATACTATTGATCCAATTGAGGCCGAGGGAGAGTTTCGTCAGCACGATGGCGTGATGACAGTGATGATGAGTTACCGACGCAGGGCTTCGCCTAAGCACTACAATGATATGACCGAGGTGGAATTCTGTGGAGGGGGGCACCGCACACGGCTAAACAATCAACTTGTGTGTCTATGGGGTGCCCCCTCTCCCGTATATAAAGGAGGGGAGGAGGGGAGGGCCGGCCCTCTCTATGGCGTGCCCAAGGGGGAGTCCTACTCCTAGTAGGAGTAGGTTCCCCCCTTTCCCTAGTTGGAGTAGGAGAAGAAAGAAGAGGGAGAGAGAGGGAAGGAAAGGGGGGCCGGCCCCCACCCAATTCGGATTGGGCTTGGGTGGGGGGCGCCCTCCACCTGGCCGCCTCCTCCTCTCTCCCACTAAGGCCCAATAAGGCCCATTGACTCCCCGGGGGGTTCCGGTAACCCCCTGGTACTCTGGTAAATGCCTGAACTCATCCGGAACCATTCCGATGTCCAAACATAGCCTTCCAATATATCGGTCTTTATGTCTCGACCATTTCGAGACTCCTCGTCATGTCTGTGATCACATACGGGACTCCGAACTACCTTCGGTACATCAAAATACATAAACTCATAATACCGATCGTCAACGAACGTTAAGCATGCGGACCCTACAGGTTCGAGAACTATGTAGACATGACCGAGACTCACTTCCGGTCAATAGCCAATAGCAGAACCTGGATGCTCGTATTGGTTCCTACATATTCTACGAATATCTTTATCGGTCAAACCGCATAACAACATACGCTGTCCCCTTTGTCATCGGTATGTTACTTGCCCGAGATTCAATCATCGGTATCATCATACCTAGTTCAATCTCGTTAACGGCAAGTCTCTTTACTCATTCCATAATGCATCATCCCGTAACTAACTCATTAGTCACATTGCTTGCAAGGCTTATAGTGATGTGCATTACCGAGAGGGCCCAGAGATAAACAACAACAAACAACAACAAAGCCTTTAGTCCCAAACAAGTTGGGGTAGGCTAGAGGTGAAACCCATAAGATCTCGCAACCAACTCATGGCTCTGGCACATGGATAGCAAGCTTCCACGCACCCCTGTCCATAGCTAGCTCTTTGGTGATACTCCAATCCTTCAGGTCTCTCTTAACGGACTCCTCCCATGTCAAATTCGGTCTACCCCGCCCTCTCTTGACATTCTTCGCACGCTTTAGCCGTCCGCTATGCACTGGAGCTTCTGGAGGCCTGCGCTGAATATGCCCAAACCATCTCAGACGATGTTGGACAAGCTTCTCCTCAATTGGTGCTACCCCAACTCTATCTCGTATATCATCATTCCGGACTCGATCCTTCCTCGTGTGGCCACACATCCATCTCAACATACACATCTCCACCACACCTAACTGTTGAACATGTCGCCTTTTAGTTGGCCAACACTCCGTGCCATACAGCATTGCGGGTCGAACCGCCGTCCTGTAGAATTTGCCTTTTAGCTTTTGTGGCACTCTCTTGTCACAGAGAATGCCAGAAGCTTGGCGCCACTTCATCCATCCGGCTTTGATTCGATGGTTCGCATCTTCATCAATACCCCATCCTCCTACAACATTGACCCCAAATACCGAAAGGTGTCCTTCCGAGGTACCACCTGGCCATCAAGGCTAACCTCCTCCTCCTCACACCTAGTAGTACTGAAACCGCACATCATGTACTCGGTTTTAGTTCTACTAAGCCTAAACCCTTTCGATTCCAAGGTTTGTCTCCATAACTCTAACTTCCTATTTACCCCCGTCCGACTATCGTCAACTAGCACCACATCATCCGCAAAGAGCATACACCATGGGATATCTCCTCGTATATCCCTTGTGACCTCATCCATCACCAATGCAAAAAGATAAGGGCTCAAAGCTGACCCCTGATGCAGTCCTATCTTAATCGGGAAGTCATAGGTGTCGACATCACTTGTTCGAACACTTGTCACAACATTATCGTACATGTCCTTGATGAGGGTAATGTACTTTGCTGGGACTTTGTGTTTCTCCAAGGCCCACCACATGACATTCCGCGGTATCTTATCATAGGCCTTCTCCAAGTCAATGAACACCATATGCAAGTCCTTCTTTTGCTCCCTATATCTCTCCATAAGTTGTCGTACCAAGAAAATGGCTTCCATGGTCGACCTCCCAGGCATGAAACCAAACTGATTTTTGGTCATGCTTGTCATTCTTCTTAAGCGGTGCTCAATGACTCTCTCCCATAGCTTCATTGTATGGCTCATCAGCTTAATTCCATGGTAATTAGTACAACTCGGAACATCCCCCTTGTTCTTGAAGATTGGTACTAATATACTCCGTCTCCATTCTTCTGGAATCTTGTTTGCCCGAAAAATGAGGTTGAAAAGCTTGGTTAGCCATACTATTGCTATGTCCCCGAGACCTTTCCACACCTCAATGGGGATACAATCAGGGCCCATCGCCTTGCCTCCTTTCATCCTTTTTAAAGCCTCCTTCACCTCATACTCCTGGATTCGCCGCACAAAACGCATG